AACTATATATATATATATATATATATATATATATATATATATATATACATACACATATACATATATATATATATATATAGATATATATTTCGAACGAGGTTCCTTCTGTGAAAATATATATGTATATATATATACATATGTATATATACACGTGTATATTCAGTGCGCGTTATCCCGATGTGATTCGTTCCGATTCGTTCGTCGGAGGACTATTGGAGGACGTGGAGACGAGAGTGAGAGTTTTTCGTTCGTCGTTTGTGAATTCGATTCATCGAGTCCATCGGAGTCATCCAGACGACTAGATAGAGATACTCGGTGGTGAGAGACTCGGAGAAAGGGGAAGAGAGAGAGAGAGAGAGAGAGAGAGACGGACAGAAGCGGAGCTCCTCCGAAAGGAGCGAGAGAGAGAGGAGAGAAGAGTGGAAGATACACAGTGATCGAGGGGGTGTGTTTTCGCCGGGCGGCAAGGATTTTGCTGGCCGAGGAGAAGATTAGGGACTCGTCGAATTACCACCAACAACAGCCGTGGTACCGTGGTGGTTTTCATGATTCTCGTTTGACAAGCAGACAGCAGCCCGCCACCCCGGCACCGGTTAGCTCTATGACCATGCTCCAGTCGCAGAAGCTGTACAGCGACGCTGGTAGCCTCGGCGGCGCGATGACCAGCGCCGCTATGTCGACGATGGGCAGCATGGCGCCGACGTACAGCTCGATCAACTCGGTGGGATGCATGCCGATGGGTATGTCGATGGGCGTCGGAGTCGGGCCGAGCTGCAGCCCCCAAGGCGCCGGCGGTTTCAACATGAGCACCATGAGCTCGGCCATGGGGATGGCCGCATCGATGGGCGGCGGTGGCATGGGTGGTTACGGGAGCGCGTCGATGGGCGGCGGTGGCGCGTGCATGAGCGCCGTCGGCTACGGGCCTTTGACGCCGGGCGGCGGCGCCGGTGTGACCAGGGATCCGCTCTCCCTGGCCGAGCCCGACTCGCCCAACTCGGCCCTGCAACGGGCGAGGACCGACAAGTCTTATCGCAGAAGTTACACCCACGCGAAACCTCCCTACTCGTACATCAGTCTGATCACGATGGCGATCCAGAACGCGCCCACCAAGATGCTCACCCTGTCCGAGATCTACCAGTTCATCATGGATCTGTTCCCGTTCTACAGGCAGAATCAGCAACGTTGGCAAAACTCGATCAGGCATTCGCTCAGCTTCAACGATTGTTTCGTGAAAGTGGCGCGCACCCCGGACAAACCGGGGAAAGGATCGTTCTGGACCCTCCACCCGGAGAGCGGGAACATGTTCGAGAACGGGTGCTACCTTCGAAGGCAGAAGAGGTTCAAGGACGAGAAGAAGGAGTTGACGAGGCAGAACAACAAGCACCAGCAGCATCACACGGGGGCAGCGGCGGCCGCGGCGGCGGTCGCCGTGGCGGCCGCCGCCGGACACAACAGTCCCACCTCCCACGAGCTTGCCCACGCGGCCAAGAAGAGCGCTGCCTCTTCTCTCCACCACGGGCCCCAACAGGGGCAGGACGACAAGGATCTTCACTCCCTGGTCACCTCCCATCACCACCATCACGCGACCCTCCACCAGCACCACGCGACCCTGAAGAGCGACGCGACCGACATAGGGGGATTGCTGGGCCCGGACCTCGGCGCGGCGCACGACGAGTTGACCGCGATGGTCAGTCGAAGCCTTCACCCGCACCTCATCTCGGAACCGGCGGCCGCCCTCCACCACGGGATGGCGGGCAGCCTGAAGCAGGAGCCGCCGTACACCGCGGCAAGCCACCGTTCAGCATCACCAGGCTGCTGCCGGGCGCGACGGCGGCCACCTCGCCCGGCGCCCAGGACATCAAGCCGCCCGAGATGAAGATGTACGAGCAGTTGCACCAGAGCTACGCCAACTTCGGCTCGCCCCATCACCCGCACGCCCACTCGGCCCCGCCGAGCCACCATCATCACAACGGGATGCACGCGGCGGCCTCGAACGCGGCAACCCCTATGCACAACATGACCAACCACCACCACCAGGAGTATTACCAAAGCCCGTTGTACCATCACGCGACCAGCGTGGCGAGTAGCAGCGCGCCACCGCCGTCCACCGTCGCCACAGCGGCACCGGGCTTGTGACATCACGCTACCCATCCCTACGCCCTGGCCTGAGTCGCTGCAGCCGCGGCGTACGCCGCCACCAATCCCACGACCACCGCCGTCAATTTCGTCCTTCCGCCGCCCGCCGCCCATCACCATCACGATCACCATCATCGTCATCACCACCATCGTCATCTTCTTCAACCGCCTATCTCCTCCTCTTCCTCCTCCTCCTCCTCCTCCTCCTC